AAGGGCAGGGTTACACAATCAGGAGAAACGCAGCCCAAGCCAGGACTGGGAGCCCCAGCAAGAGACTGGAAACTTAGGCCAGCAAGCCCGGTGGGGAGAGGCCCTGGGGCTGAGTCTCCGCTCAGCCACCACGAGGAGGGGCAGAAAAGCCACCCTTGGCTGGGGGCAGACTGTCTAGTTTCTTTCTTTCTTTTTTAGATTTATTTATTTTTATTGAAAAAGCAGATATATATAAAAGAGGAGAGACAGAGGGGAAGATCTTCCATCTGATGGTTCACTCCCCAAGCGGCCCCAATGGTTGGAGCTGCGCCAATCTGAAGCCAAGAGCTTCTGGATTTCCCATGCGGGTGCAGGATCCCAAAGCTTTGGGCTGTCCTCTGTTGCGTTCCCAGGCCACAAGCAGGGAGCTGGATGGGAAGTGGAGCCCCCGGGATTAGAACCAGCGCCCATATGGGATCCTGATATGTTCAAGGTGAGGACTTTAACCATTATGCTGTCACGCTGGGCCCCTCTATCTAGTTTCAAACTACATGTTTGAAAGAGAATAAAAGACGTTTTCGTTGTGGTGATGCAGTAGGTAAAGCCAGAGCTTGGAGCATTACCATCTCAACGGGATGCCAGTTCAGCTCTCAGATGCTCCACTCCCCCTTCAGCTTCCTGCTGAGGCACCTGGGAGATCAACAGAGGAATGGCCCAAGTTCTTGGGTGCAGGGGCACACCCACCTGGGAGACCCAGATGGGACTCCTGACTGCTGGCTTCCACCTGGCCCAGTCCTGTTGGCTGTTGGAGCCTTTTACGGAGTGACCCAGCAGAGAACCCCTCTCTCTGGCACTCTGCCTTTCAAGTAAACACCTATTTTTAAAAAGGAAAGAAAGAGAATGATAGAGGTCCCTTTGGAGAGGGGTGAACAAGGCCTAGGCACCTGTTAGCTAAGGTTTGCTCAGGCCAGACCCACCCTGAGTCCACAGATAAAGGAGACTGACAGATGGAAGGACAGGGCAGAAGTACACACACACACACACACACAATCACACACAATCATACATAGAACTACACACACAGACATGCAAATTAGATACACGCTCATACATAACCACAACACACAGTCACATATACAACCATATACATCACATACAACCAAACATATACACACACATGTCTTACATACAAGCACCCACTCATGCACAACCCTATATACATCATACACACATGACCTTACGCACACCTTTTTTTAAGACTCATGACCTTTTTATTTTTTTAAAGATTTATTTACTTTTATTTGAAAGGCAGTGTGACAGAGAGAGAGACAGAAAGATCATCCCTCTGTTGTTGGTCCAATCCCCAAATGGCTGCAATAGCCGGAGCTGAGCCTATCCAAAACCAGGAGCCAAGAGCTTCTTCCAGGTCTCCCACGTGGGTGCAGGGTCCCAAGGCTTTGGGCCGTCCTCTACTGTTTTCCCAGACTGCAAGCAGAGACCTAGATGGGAAATGGAGCAGCCAGAACATGAACCAATGCCCATATGGGATGCTAGTACTTGCAAGCAGAGGATTAGCCAACTGAGCCATCACACCAGCCCCTAGATATGCAGTCTTAACACTCTCCCATACAGCCTCACTCGCAATCATTTACCCACAATCCTGCTTACACCATACAGCGTTTGGCACAGTGCTTTACTCTCAGGTGTTCATAAACTGGCATCTGGGAGAAGTTGTGATGCCACTTGGAATACCCACATCCATGCCTGGATTCAAGTTCCGGTTCTGCTCTCAACTCTAGCTTCCTATCAGTGCCCCCTGTATGCCCGGGAGGCAGCTGGTGGTGGCTCAGGTACTTAAGTCCCTGCTACCCTCATGAGAGACCCAGATGCACAGAGACCCAGACTCCTTGCTGGGGAGCTAAGGGGGTACCCCAGCGAGTTTGGGGTTCCTTGCTGGTGAGAATGAAGAATAGGGATGGCTGTACATGGCTAGAGACTACACCAGCACGGGTGTGCACCGAGACGGTGAAGTAACAGATTAGCTTGACTCCAGCCCCCACCAGTATTCGTGAGAGCAAGTTTTGGTGTGGAACAGGCCAGACTAGGTCTTGACTCCCGCTGAACTATGTGAAAGCTGTGTCTGGGCGCGGACCAGGTCGCACTGGGCTACAACAACCAGCAACAAGAACCAGAATGGGAGTGGCCAGCTGAGCAAGGCCACTGCTCTTGTCAGGACAGGAGGTGGACAAAGTCAACCTGGGTCAAAGACTCACTGGTGTGCAGGAGAACTGCCACTGGGGGCAGACTTGATGGAGGAGTTTATGAAACTCCTTCACTGGGGCACAACACCTGCAGGTGAGCACAAGGAGCAAGGTTAGCAGCAGCCCTACCATGCCAGGCTACATACAGTACCTGCCGGCATACACATGGATCAGGTCTGGGGACAGACCAGTCTGGCCAGCACATTGACACCCACTGGCAGATCTGAGAACCAGGGCAGGGGGCAGGAGGAGCCAGATTGGATTGCAGCACCAGCCAGCTCACATTAGGACCGGGACAGCAATCAGGTTGGACTGGGTAGGTTGCAGCACCCACCAACAGGAGCTGGAACAGGGGCCAGACTAGACCAGTCATGGCTGTGCAGTAAGACTGTGGACACTGAGGTGAGAGTCATGCCAGCCTGGGCTCAGCAGGGGCTGGCTAAGTGAGTTCCAGGGACAGGAATCTGGCAGGACAGGTAACTTGGCTCAGGTCATGGGGACTTAACTGAGTGTTGTGGGATGAGTTCCTGAGCCCTAGGGACAGGAAAACTAGTGGGGGTGTGAGTCACTTGGCCCAGATCCTGGGGCCCGCCTTCTAGAAAGGTGTTGGTTTTGTGACTCCTGGGAGTGGGGGATCTGGCAGGCTTAGGTCTCCTGGTCTGGGGCCCAGGATCCACCTAACTAGGTAGGTGCCGGTTTGTGAGCCCCAAGAGTTGGGGATCTGGCGGGGCTTGGGTAGCATGGCCCAGGTCTCGGGGCCCTCCCACTAGGTGGATGTCAGGTTCAAGGGCCACAGGTGGGGGATCTGGTGATGCTTGGGACACCTGGTCTAGGTATTTGGATTCGCCTGCAAGAACATGCCCTACTTAATGAAAAAGATGGAGCAGTGGGCACAAGCCCTGTTGTAAAAGGAGAATAAGGCAGGACATTTGGTACTGCTATACCAAAAAATAGAACTAACTGGACAACTACCCCAAACAAACAATGACAGCAAAAAAACCTCAGTGAGTAGAGCCAATGGACATTGGGTGGGTGACATCATCCTCGGATTGGTAAGATTGGCAGCATTTCAGAACTATCCAAACCACCTGGACAGAACCCTCGGAATACACGCACACCGAGACCCTGGCTTGGTATGAGGAGGTGGTTCCTCATCCCTGGGAACTGGGACGTGTGGAAAGTCATGCGTGGTTTCCCCCTTTCTGTCTCCTCTCCCCCGAGAAAGAACAGGAAGAAATAGCAAATTTGGAAACAATGAATTCACCCAATTTTTTTCCCAAACCCTGATCTTTCCCACCTTGATCAACCATGTAATCATTGTTATTTTTTTTTTAACTATTTAAAAAGAAGAAGAAGAAGAAAATATGGAGTCTTAGGTCTGGCACAGTAGCCTAGCGGCTAAAGTCCTCACCTTGAACACACACCAGGATCCCATATGGGTGCAGGTTCTAATCCTGCAGGCCCCGCTTCCCATCCAGCTCTCTTCTTGTGCCCTGGAAAAGCAGTTGAGGACGGCCCTCTACTTGCCTCCAGTTAGGTACGGCACGTCCTGCTCCTCAGGTCAACTCCACCAAAGAAACAGAAAGTGGGGGTGTGGCCACGTGGAGGGCTGCTGCTGGGGAGGACGACGGGTGCCACCTGCTGTCTTGGGCAACATGTGGCACAGGGAGGACAACAGGTGCAGGGTGCCCGTCGGGGGCCTGAGGGAGCCTCTGCAGGCGGGAGCTGAAATTCTATCTCTCGGTGGCCTGTGGGATCCAGTTACCGCTCTGGAGGCTCCTCAGGGCCTCAGCCAGGCAGCTGCTGCTAGGGTACCCAGGGAACCTTCCATCTTTTCTTAGGGTCAAGTGCAATCCAGGGACCAGTCCCTGAGACCAGAATCACAGAGGCAGAGAGCTCTTCCGTCCATCACCCTAGCCGGAAGCCTGCAACTCAGTCTGGGTCTCCCACATGAGTGGCAGGGACTCAAGTTCTGGGACTGTAAGAGCTGACACTGTAGCACAGTCAGTTAAGCTGCAGCCTACAGCACCCCACATCAGAGTGTCGGTTCAAGTCCTGGCTGTTCTGCTTTCAATCCAGGTCCCTGCTTCTACGGGTGGGAAAGCAGCAGAAGATGTCCCAAGGGTTTGGGCCCCTGTACTCACAGGGAGACCCAGATACAATTCTGGGCTTCTGGCTTCAGCCTGGATTAGCTCCAACCTGAACCAGCAGGTGGAAACCCTCTCACTCTCTTTCTCTCTCTCTCTCTCTGTCACACTGTTTTTCAAATAAAGAAAATTTCAAAACAAAACAACTTAAGCCATCTTCTGCTCTCACCCAAGATGTATGATAGCAGGAAGCTAGACTCAGAGATGGAGTGGGACTCGAACCCCGGGCACTGCAGTATGGCAGGCGGTAGTACCAAACTCACATGCAGCCGTTTGCATCTCAGAGCGGGCCCAGGGGAGTACAAGGAAGCCCGTCCACCACCCAGAGTGACACACAGGAGGCTGGTGGCCGAGCCACCAAGAGGGAGGGTCCTCTCCCCTGAGGCTTTAGTTTCTGGGCCTGGGGCCCTCCCTGGCATAGTCAGTCACTCTGTGCTATTCTTGGTGTGTGTGTGTGTGTGTGTGTGTGTTCTCTTCATTTCTCCCTTCCCCCTCCCCTTTTCTGGGAGGAAATCTGATTAGGGCTGGGAAAGCTAAGCCACCTTAGGATCGGATGACCAGATTTAGCAAATACAGAGAGGGAAGAGGAGTCCATATGGATTCCAGATCACAGCCCAGATGAGAAAAGGAGCCGTGGTGATGGTGGTGGTGGTGGTGGGGAAGTCTGGAAGGTTCTAGAACATGGCTTCTCCTCTGGGGTGGGGAACTGAGAAGCTAGTCCCTGAGAAGCTAAATCACCCCGTTTGGCCAGTGCCAATCCCCGCTTGAACACCCCTGGCAGCTCACTGCCCAGGGAGTGGGGGGGATGGGTCCAGGCAGCCTGTCTTCCCAAAGCAGAAGCGACCAAGCAACAGAAAACTGTGTGCAGTGGTTAGTAAGGAAGTGGAAACCCAAGCAGCTTGGTGAGACAGGAGATGGAAACAGTGCCCTCACCTCCACCAAGCCTGGGGGCCAGGGGTCCCACTCCTCTCCTCCCTGGGTACGAAGCCCAGAACAGGTGCCTGGCAGCTGCACATACAGTCTACTGCAAGGTTGTATATGTAACCCAGTTCCTGTAAGCCCCCCATGAAGGTCTAGTGGGATCCAGCCGTTAGCTGAGGTCCGCTGCAGGCCAGAGAGGGTGTCTGAGCTGCTGTTGGAACTGACAGCCCCTTGCCAGGGCTGGGAGACATGCCACACCACAGCTGTCCCATCTCTGGCTTCCTTAGCCCAGATTGCATAGGACCAAGCCCCTGCCTGGGATTCTCCTGGCTTGAAAATAGCCCAGGAAAGCCAATGACCTTGGGCTACTTGCCTTCCTGCCAGGCTGAACTTACCCTCTTGAGCCTTGTCTTCTTGTCTGGAGTCTCCCCCGGCCAGGGCTCCCTCAACCTTCAAGCAGGACCCCCAATTCTGCACAGGCTTTCCCAGTCCCTAGGGTACAGCCTGTATTGAGTCCCCACTGACAGAGGGATACCAGATAACCCAAGGACCCTGTTGTCCACCCGCTTGCCTCCTTGCCTCTCCATTTTTTTTAATTTTTTTTTTTTTGCTTCTGAACATGTCTTTTTTTTTTTTAATTTTTTTTTTTTTTTGATACAGTTTAGTTGGTGCTGGGCTCTCCCCCTTCCCCCAAGTTTCTTCCCCTCCCATATATTCTCCCCTGCAGTCTTACAATGGGTAAGATTTGTTTGTTTATATTAGAAAGTCAAATATACAGAGAGGAAGGATAGAGAGGAAGATCTTCCATTCCATGATTCGCTCTCCAAGTGACCACAATGGCCAGAGCTGAGCTGGTCCAAAGCCAGGAGCCAGAAGCCTATTCTGGGTCTCCCATGCAGGTGCAAGGTCCCAAGGCTTTGAGCTGTCCTCAACTGCTTTCCAGGAAGCTGGATGGGAAGTGGGGCCACCAGGATAAGAACCAGCGCCCATATGGGATCCCAGCATGTGTAAGGGGAGGACTTTAGCCACTAGGCTACAGCTAGGCTACCACGCCAGACCCCTTGCCTTGCTATTCTTGTAAAGCTTGGGGATGTGACTGCATTGCATTCCACCAGGAATAAATGTTTGCTGAAGCAGCAGAAACCACAGAGGGCCGCAATGGAGACTTCCTAATTTCTCTTTTCCTGAAATCAGCCTTTGATCTAAGGGATGTGTGGCGAGACACACATCCCTAAATAGCTGTGTGCACCTGACAATGGCCCAAGTCCTTGGGTTCCTGCCACTCTTGTGGGAGACTTGGATGGAGTTGGTGGTTTCTGCAGGTGTCTAGAGCGGACAAAAGATCTTTCTATGTGCCTCTTCCACTCTGTTACTCTGCCTTCCAAACAAACACTTTAAAACAATTTTTTATCTATGTCAACCAATGGACCTTGGATGGATTTCCTCAACCCTGACGCAATGAGACCAACAGTATTTCAAAACTACTGAAACCACTTAAATAGGACCCTCAGAACACAGTTTTTCACCCCTGAGATTCTAGAGTGATATCGAGTGGCCACCACCCATCGCTGAGTGCTGGTGTGGTTTGGCTGCTAAAAGTAAGCCTTTCCCTTCCTTGCCCAACTACAAGAGGAAAAAAAAAAATTCCCCATACCTCAACCCTCCTCAAACTGGTTGTTGGTTCACATGGGCATGCATCATGCATCCTTCTCAACTGTGTCAACAATATCAAAAACAATACAATAATTTTCCAAAGATTTTTAAAATTTATTTTTATTGGAAAGTCAGATTTACAGAGATAAGGAGAGAGATCTTCTATCTGCTGCTTTACTCCCCAAATAGCCGCGATGACCAGAGCTGAGCCAATCCAAAGCCAAGGGCCAGGAGATTCTTCTTCTGGGTTTCCCATGCCAGTGCAGGATCCCAACGCTTTGGGCCATCCTCTGCTGCTTTCCTAGGCCACAGGCAGGGAGCTGTATGGGAAGTGGAGCAGCCAGTACTTGAACCGGTGCCCATATGGGATGCCAACAGTTGCAGGTAGAAGATTAGGCAGTGAGGCCATTGTGTTGGCCCCCAAATAAATTTCCTAAAACAAAAACAGGAGCCAGTATTAGATGGCGCAGGCTGTTCCTGCTGCAAATTTACCTGATCTGTCTCCTTCTGGCCCGTCCCTGGAGTGTAATTTTGCTCCCCATGTTCATGGGTGGCTGCCTGCCCTTTAAGTGTTGAGCCTGTATTCCAAGTAAAAAAAAAAAAAAAAAAGGCACAGATTCGCTGGCTCAGATCCAGCGTGTGATCTCTGCTGCCAAAATGCCAAAAAAGCCATTGTTTTCCCAGAGGCCCTTCCCAGTAGCTTCCCATTTATTTCTCGTTCTGCCAGAAATAGTGCATGGAAAGAATATCATGTGGGCAAGCCTGGAGGCCAAGGGACTTGAAAAACTCACGGCTTATATTTTTAGGAGTCAGTGTGGTCTTCGACAGTGAGTGCAGTGCACACAAGTACTTGAACCATGCACCTGCTGTCTCTCACCCAGGTGGATCCGCGGAGAGCTGAATCCGAAGCAGAGGAGCCAGGACTCGAAAAGGTCACTCTGATGTGAGTGGATGTCCCAAGCTGCAGCCTAACCTGATAAACCGCAACACCTGCCTCCAGTGTCTTCACTGGCCCCTGGAAGTGCTAGTCTAAGCGCCCAGAAGATTACATTTTCAGCTCGTTGTATTTTCTACTCCCCATGTGTTTGCCAGGCTATAACTCCATTAGAAGTCAAGGAGAGGGGTGCCTAGGTAGGTGGCCTTGGGGATCATGGGAACTGTTAGAGGCTGGCAGAGTCAAGAAGGCCTGAGAACTTCCCCAGTTAATGGGTCCCAGGCAGACAGGGTGGGGAGCAGTTCAGACCGCAGGCTGGCATGCTGGCATGGTGTGCCATGTGTAGTCAGAGGCCGAGAGGTTTGGAGGAAGGAAACTAAAGGACCTTTCTGGGTCAGACCAATGCACCTGCCCATGTGAGTGACCGCTCATGGGCCACTTAACATTGACCAACACTGAGCACCAGCTACCGGCGCACACAGAAGTTAGGATTGGGGGCTTACATGGCAGGGATAGATCACAGTACCTACCAGTATCAGGGCAGGGGACGGGTAACATTGGGATGGAACATGACATGGGCCCACCCCTGTGGAATTTCAATATCCACTGTTTTGCTCAAGAGCTGTGGCCTCGGGGGAAGGGGTAGTGGGCTGAGCTAGGCATGACCATGGAATTTCCCAACACTCATTGGTACTGGAGTTGGGAACAGGCCGGGCTGGTGCAGGCTGTAGCACCAGTAGGCGTGCCCAGGAATTAGCGTGTGGGACAGATCTGGCCACAACATCCACCAGCACACACAAATGTCAAGACAGAGGGAGCAGACTTTGTTAGGTAAGGACCTAGAACCACTGACACACATGAGATCTGGGTCTGGGTTGGCTGTAGTTCCTGCTAGTGAGCACATGAGTCAGTGCTGGGTGTGAGTCAAGCCAGGCATGGCTGTTCCACTTGTCAACAAGCTGGCAGACCTGGTCCACCCCCCGCCTTAGCACACTGGGATGTGCAAAAGCCAGGATGGAGTGCAAGCCATGCTGGAGGAGGCTGTCACACCTACCAGTCTGCATGAAAGCTAGGGATGGGGGCAGACTACTCAGGGTTAGGCTGCAGCACCCACCAGCAACAGTTGGAACTGGGGGTGGGCCAAGCCAACCCGGGCTCTAGCATCCAATGACAAAGGCCAAGACAGGGATGGGCTTTTCTGGGCTGGATCAGAGCAACCACCAGCATGTGCAAGATCTGCCATTGGGAGCAAGCCTGGTGAGGGAGCTAAAGGAATGCCCTAGCTAGGCTGTGATTCCTACTAATGAGTACAAGAGCTGGAATGGGGGCAGTAAACTGGCTAGACGTGGCTTGTAGCATCCCTTGGCATGGGTATGGACTTGGTTTGGGATGTGTCATACTGGCTTGGACTTCAGTACCCACTGGTGCTCTCCAGAGCTAGGCTGGGTGTAGGATGGGGTGAACTAGGTCTCAGCATCTGCTGAACCATGCTAGAGCTGGGTCTGGGGGTTGACCAGGCAGGGCTGGGCTGTAGCACCCAACAGTAAGAGCCAGAACAGGCTGGTCGGGCAAAGACCTGCCAGGACAGGACGTGGGCCAAATCAGGCTGGGTCAAGCACCCACCAGTGTATACAAGATCTGCCACTGGAACGAGACTTGATAGAGGAGCTTGGGGAACTCCTTTGTCAGACTGCAGTCCCTGCAGGTGAGCACAAGAACCAAGATTGGAAGCAGCCCAGACCAGGCCGGCTTACAGTCCTAGCCAGTAATATGTGTGGGTCAGGTCTGGGGGCAGATCAAGCTGGGCCAGTGACAGATGTGAAACCAGGGTAGAATGTAGGACAGGCCAGGTCAGATCACAAGACCAGCCAGTTCACATTAGGGCCAGGACTGGGGGCTGGCTGGACTGAGCTGGGCTAAACTGGAACACTCATCAACATGAGCTGAACTGTGGGCAGACTAGGTTGAGCCAGGCTACAGCACCTGCTGGTGAATGCGAAAGTGAATCAAGCCATGCCAGTTTGGGCCATAGCTCCTACCAGCATCCCTGAGACCCGGGATGGGGAAGCAAGTACAGAAGGGAACATGTGAGGGCTCCCCTGCTGGACCAGAGTTCCTGCTGGTA